TTCCGTAGCATTCGTGAAATCGGCATGCACAATGCAGATAAATTAGCAGATTTTTCTTACCGTTTGCTTGATCTTATTGCTGAATTTGATAGTCGGTTTGCAGATTTTCGCGAATTCAATATCTACGACTTTCCTCTTTTTAATGATCTGTTTATGTTCGATACTGGTAAAGCACCGACTTACTTGCAAATGAAAATAATAGATTTGCAGTGTGCTACTGCTTTAAATAGCAAGTTCAATTTAAAAGTAAGTTAATTAAAAGTAATAATTGTGCTTCATTCTTCTTATCTATTAAGATGTTGTTTGAGCTTATATCTCTGTGAATAATTCCTACGGAAGACAGTAAAATAATTTGTTACACAGTGTATACGTATGAAAATTTATACGTTTAAATATATTTAGATAAAGTACCTTTTTTGTGAATATAAATGATGGCCGATGCAAGTTGTGCACCGATCGTTTTTGCTTGGGTTTCCTCTAATGGTCCATTTATTTCCAAGAAATCAGTCAAATTCTCTCCATTCACATAATCACAGACGAAACAGTAACTGAAAAGCACGAATAGTTTATTACCCGAAACACATAAAACATTACAAATCAATAATATCAAACAAGTAAAGCTTACCTAATATCAGTTTCGAAGATACCAATAAAACTGACAATGTGAGGATGACTGGATACTCGGCGCCAAGCAGTTCCTTCTTTGAGAATATCGAATTCCTGTGAATAAAAAAGTATAATTAAAATACAGTCGACCCCCCTATAACACTGTTGATAATTCCGTGTTATATGAATTCCATGTTGTACGAGTCACTTAGATTTTACAAATACGTGAGCCGTTCACAGCCTGGAACACGTATTTGTAAATTCTAAGTGACTCGTACAACATGGAATTCATATAAAACGGAATAATNCCCCCTATAACACTGTTGATAATTCCGTTTTATATAAATTCCGTGTTGTACGAGTCACTTAGATTTTACAAATACGTGAACCGTTTACAGCCTGGCACACGTATTTGTAAAATCTAAGTGACTCGTACAACACGGAATTCATATAAAACGGAAAAATTAACAGTGTTATAGGGGGTCGACTTGTAGTACATTATTGGATTCTTGCAACGTCTTAACAGTGATTGTATTGTTTTTATCTCGCGGAAAGAAAGAATATGGAAAACAAGGCTTAATTCATACCTGATCTCGGAAAAACCGCTGTTTCTTGATGGCTTTGACAGCGATTGTTCTGTCGGTACTTTTAGACCGACCCACATAGACTGTGCCAAAGGATCCTTTACCTATTTCTTGAATTTCGTACTTTTCTTCTTTATTTGTTAAACCTTCAGGTCCAAATTGAAATTCTCCCGATTCGAACTTCTACGATTATAAAATATTTTGGTTGCAAAGTTCGTTAATTGAAAAACAGAGAAAAGCAAAGAAACTCGAGTGTTACCGGTGAATCGAAAGTTTCTCCTTTTACGCAAAAACAGCGCAACAGTTTACAAAATACACTTTTGAAAAACTGTTTAATTCCTCCAATTTTCTTAGGTTTGTTCACCTGCAATGGCGAATCTCTTTTGTAAGCGGAGAAACACTCATTGGCAGGCGAATCATAGACATTCTACGGAAAGCCAAAATAATAATATTTGTTACTCTTAATGCATATTTCAAAATCGGGTAAAGACTTGTTAATTGAGTTTTAATAAAAAAAATTCATTAATGAAATTGAATAACTTACATTATTAATCCAATAATTTTGATTTTGCTGACCGTCCGGTTCAGCGCCATCACTTCCATTATAACTAAATTCATGAAATTTTACATAAATATAAAGGAAATGTCATTCGTAAACATTGCTTTTGATTAAATTTACCTTTTTCTCTTCATTTTCTCACTAGAAAATCGCAAACGAATACTTTCTAAAGAACGCTCCATTACGCTTCAACAATTGAAACAATTGGAAATTGTTACATCGAGAACATTGTTGAAAAATGACATTAAAATTAATGTTTATATAAAAGTTTTTAATACACGTAATTTAATATCAAAGATAAACAATTATGAATTTTGAATTGTTAGGAATAAAAACAAATGATGAGAACGAGAATGTCATTACAGTTGCTGTAAAAGTCGAGGTGTCACATCTTTTTTCAAGGATCAAAGAATGCAAAAAAATTTTAATTAATTATACAAATTAATTTCAATTTATTTTCAATAAAATTTAATCACTATATTGATAACACATTCAATATTTGTACTCTTTGTATAATATTTGACTCATATAAAATGCACCGAATTCTTCGTTTTTCAAAGCCATAAGTCAGTATTTTTTCTTTTTTATTTGACTTTTTCTTTATTTGCAGTTTTCTGGTCTTTCGCTTTATTTTTGGGATTTTTAATTTTGGAAATTATCTTGTAATCTTTTCTCACAGGGAATTGAGGTTAGAATTTCTTTTTTTTTTCATTTTTTTCATTAACAAACTGCTGTTGTTTTACTAAAATTAAGGAGTTTTGTTTAAATATTTTTTGTAAATTACTTGAAGTTAACATCATAGATTTAAAAAGGAAAACAAAAACTACTGATATAGATGTTATAAAATATTAATTGCCACCATCGAACAGCTATTGCAAAGGCAAGAACCTTTAATATTGCGCAGACAAAACACTGAATGCACCTTCATATATTAATATCTTCTTTCAGATTTACCTGAATACACGTCAAAATTTGTTGGCTTACGTGCCTTACTTAATTAAACTGCCACGGTAATATCTGCGAATAGATACTGTTTAAGTACTGGTAAGTGTTTGGTACTAGAAGAACTTCTCTAAATAAATATTCAAGCTTAAATTATCTATGCATATAACAACACGAATCTTAAAAGACGGTAGAATTTGGATGTATTGAATATATCATAGAACTTGGACTTCGGTCTTGGGCATGTATTGATCAATCACCAATGAGCCAGTGGCACCTTCTTATCAGGAGGCAGTAAAGTTTCGTAGGAATGTTTCAGTCACGTTGCCTCACTTTCTTAGTTTGGCCAATTTTCCATTGAGCATTTGTGTGATTCAGTTTTTACCATATCCACGGATTCATTCGCTTCCATTATTTGTAATGTGAAGATGAATTATGGTTTTAAGTGATTTTGTGCATTCGGCGTGTAGAAAAATCTATGTTCAGGATTAGCATATAGTCTATGTATGCCTCCAGACTTCTTATATCGCCTCATTATCTATGCAAGAGGAGATCTTAGAAGATATTAATGCAGGCCTGACATACCAAAATCCGGCCTCTTTGACTATTCACAATTCATTAATGCAAAGGAGAGTGAAACGTCTCGATCAGATTTAGTAGAAAGTCTACTAACTTGGTAACACTGGATACATTATGCTTTCTTTAATATACTGTTCCTAAACTGCCAATCCCTAGGATGCCCTGAGACAAAGTGGATAGTTACTAATAATGTGTATCTGGTGGAAACTATTACATTTAAAATTTCATACACGTGTGCTTAAATCTATATATTTATTAAAATTATCAATAATGATGTACGCATTTTAATCGTGTGAAACAGAAATACCTATGATGAATTTCACTATATGAATAATATAAACTTTAATTGAGAAACACTACAGTATTTCCATTATCCAGTTCAAAAATAAAGAATAGCAACAAATTAATAGAAGTGACACATACGATTTATAAAACTAACTAACTAACTAATTAATAGAAGTGATTTTAGATACAAGTAATTCTATTAATTTATAAAACGTACGATTTATAAAACTAACAAAAAAATGCTCAGGTCAAATTATATGTATAATAAGAACGAAGGCCATAAAATGTCCAACAAAATCAATAATTTGAAGACAATAGTGTTGACTGTAAAAAGTACTAGATGGAAACAAATGATTCTTCAGTGCTAAAATTATTCAATTATTACTAAAGTATTATTTTCAAAGCCTTTATTTATTTGTGTTTATGGAGTAGATCATAGAGAATCATATCAGCAGCCTTCTCCCCAATCATGTAAGTTGGAATGTTTAGCTGTCCCGTTACCACAAATGGCATTATCGAAGCGTCTGCTACTCTTAGTCTTTCTACACCTTTAACTCTGAAAGAAATATAAAAGAATTACAGTAAATATGTAATAACTTTAACTGTAAAAATCACAGTTGTATTTGAAGAATACATTGAAGACATCTTCAATGTAGTCTTCAAATGTTTCTGTTCCCATCTACCATCCTGAATTTAATTTCTGGATGGTTCACATATTACTTGATGATCATTGTTTTTCGCATGTAGCTGACAACAATTGTAATTACTTTATTAGTTTGTTACAAAAATTGTTGTGTGATTTCTTAATGTTTTTCAATCAATAAAGTATGACTATTTTCATATATATGAAGTACACAAAATACTTAAGTTAGGCGCAATTTGATTCGCCAATTGAAAAGTTGGTTTAAAATTTTTTATAACCGAATTCAGTAGCACACAAGATTATAATGGCAGATCTTAATTTTGTAAGCTTAAAACATTAATAGTATTATTGTTAATTATATGTTAAATAATAAATATATTTATGAGTTTCTAAGAAGACTTACTTGAGCGTTGGACCAACCACAGTTGTGGGATTAGTATCACTTCCCATTTTACACGTTCCACAGTAATGGTATATTGTAAATGGAAGTGTTGTTGCTACACAAGCGAGATATTCGTCACTGAATCTCTTGTAATGTTCGCAGCCGGGGACACTGACTGGAAGCGGATATACTCCAAATTTTCTCATTGCTTCCGTTGATGCCATTTTCAGGCAGTATTTCAATCCTGAATATTTACTAATTAAGTGAATCTAAACAAAATGTAAACTTTTATCAGAAAAACTTATATATATTTTACCTTCAACAGCAATTTTTAAGTCGTAAGGATTCGAAAAAAAATTGAAATCGATGAGAGGATCGTCATGGGTATCGTTAGATCTGATGGTAACCAATCCTCTACTTTTCGGACGTGTAGGATATGGAAAACATGATATTGTGTCAATCGATGTAAAGGGTTCGAACATTGTCTTCCATACCTGAATAATAATAACAGATTTAATTAATTTAACTATAAGCAGAACGTTTATCAAACAAACATTTAAATGAATTTTAGGAAGTTACTCGTCAAAAATTTTTTGCATTACGTCAGTGCACAGTAGCAAATAAATAAATCTCTTATGTTTGTTTGCCACTGTGTATTACTGATTTATTTTCTATATATGTGCACTGTTTTACCTCATCCATCCCGATAAACTCCATCCGAAGCAAAAACCGATATAATGGCCTTAATTGCTCCTTGACATATTTTCTACAACGATCTGGTGTTTTGTCATAATCAATATATTCCTTTTAAAATATAATATTATCCACTACGAAATATTTTTTGTAGAAATTTAAATTTACATTATATTTTATATAGAAATATTAGCCATTAATTAAACATGTTTCAAATTGTATAAATATATTTATGTTGTTTAGAAAGTTCCTATGACCAATATAACTACTACTCCCTTGTACAAGTTTCTCTAGATGAATTAATACTTATTCGATTTATTCATTGATTGATTATATCTCTTATACAAACTGTCCCAAAAGTTTTCTTACATACAAATGTAAGGTGCAACTTTATTCACAAAACATTAAAATATCAGTATTAAGATTTGTGTCA